TGTGTTGTTTATGAGTCCGTATCTTGAATTTACTTCTTTTTAGAAGTATTTAAAATATTTCCTTTAAACGGGCATTGTGCCACAGTGTACAAAAAGATAGAAAGGATGCAGTTATAGATGATAATGCAAGAGGAAACTTGGGATGCAAGATATAGAGAACAAAGGAAGCCTGAATATGTGCTGTTGACATGAGCATGGTCATGTCAAAGACCTGGTAAACTCAAATTCAGAGGGATGGCAGAACCTTCCTCAGGAGACTAAGTGCTAGCATTGACAATGTGTGCTGAAATTATCAACCATAGTTTTCCCTCAACGGATATTTACAGTCTGAGACTGTTCCCATAGAGACTGCTCCTATGGAGAGTAGCTAAATCTGTCCCTTGATCCAGCTCTACTCCATAAATTCTGCCTCCTTGTTTATCTGTATGTAATAACCCCACATCCTTGTTCAACTGTCTATAATAAACACAATGAGATTCCGGGTGCTATGGTTTCTGCCCTATTCCATGTGTTTTCTGTCTGTGTGCCCACCTGTCTGTCTTTTATTCATTTTCTGGCCACTCTAATCAGGTTCATCCCTGGAGCCATGGTGGGCATGGCATGGAGACTTTGAAGGAAGAAATGTCCTCCTCTTTATGTCGGGATGGAGTATTAACAATGGGACTCATGGTCTAATGTTCCATGGGGGTTCCTTTTGTATACAAATGTATATTTATGCATCCTATAGCCAAGGCAGTGCTAGAAAACAAGTAAGTGGTCTCTTCATAAAAAAATTTGAGTCAAGTCAGGGCTCCTTGTCCCCCTGCTTAGTAGTAGGATGGCGTTCTCCTAAGTAAATATTGAGCCAGACTCAGCCTCCTCCTGATTTCAGATGAAACCCTTTTTTCCATGAGTCCCCCTCTGGCTTTGTAGTATAGTTGATGCTGATGTACATATGTTGTGTTTTCAATTAGCCATGCTTTTAAGGAAATGGTAGAAATAACAGATACACTTTCAATTGAAGTTTTATTGCTTTTAAAGATATAAATAGCAAATGTATGTACTTTGTCAACAGTGAACAATATGCTGTACAAAGGGGCCACTGACTTTTGTTTGTGAATTTTTTGTTAAAGATGAGAAACTATCTTTACAATTTTTTAACAGATTAAAAACCATCCAAAAACACCCATACAGGTACATAGTGTCAAGCTATTATGTAAAGTTGGGCATGAGACTTCTGAACAAAGACTTCTGAGTCAGCAAAGGATGGCTAGGAACAATGGTGAGGTACCATTTGCTATAGGTTGGGTACTGTGATAAAGACTTTAACTAAATTGTCAAGTCTAATACTCAAGCTCCTGGGGGTTAAGTATTGTCACATCAAGAGACGTTACACTGGCCAGTGTCATATAGGTCAGAAACAGTAGAGCCTAGATCTGAACTCCAGTCTGTCTAATTCCAAAGCCAGTGCCTTAAACATCTGTGCAAACTGCTCTCACACAAATTTATGTCCAAAATCAGAAGCCCCAATTGCTCCAGTTGAACAGTTTATGAACAGCCCTCTCAAGTGTCAGTCGGAACTCATTTTCAGAAACCAGACAGTGTTAAGACTCTGTTTATAACTCTGTAGTAGTATTTTATAAGTTATTTTAAGAGCATAGTTTTCACGTCTCCAGATTGCCTCAGAGAAAAACACATCTGTAGGCTTCTGTCCAAGTTGTGATTATTTGTAATTGATGCTTTTGGAAGTGTTTCTGTTCCATCGTTTTGCTAAACACAGATTTAGAAATCCACACAATTCCATCACATGATGTGATTAGCAAACCCCCGAGTTTCCAGGCAGTGGATGCCTTTCAGCACCTTGGCTTTAAGACTCATCATAACAAGGGAAAGATAATTGGCACAGCCACTTAAGAGAGAAAAGGTTGTCTTCTCCATCTACCTCGGTGAAAATGTGTATTTTCCTTTCTTGCCTTCCCTGTCCTCCTCCCCTCTCTCTCTCCTGTCATTTTTATGCTGGGAACCCAACTCAGATCCTGTCAGTTGCGAGGCAGGTGCTCTGCCACTGAGCTGCAACCCCACTCAGGCAGCTATTTTGAAGCCATCTGTAGCTTGCTAGAGATTTGCAGACTGTTACCAGTTCCGTACAGTAAAAGCATCACCTTAGTGCGTGTTTCCGTTACAAAACCAACATTGAAAAAGAGTGATGGAAATATTTTAGCTGATGCCTTCTCATTAGTTTATACGGTTCTGGAGAAGTCATGCAGCTCCCTTTCCTCTTAATGTCCCCAGTGTATGTGGTGACAGGCTTTTCTTTACATGATAGGTACTATATTCAGTAAAGTCATATATATATATTGCTACCACATGGTTAGAATTCTAGTCATTCACACCACACCATCATCTGCAAGAATCCCACAAAAATGAAAGCTCACTTTTTATTATCATATTCCTTATTCTAAACCTAGCCAACTAAAAATAACCTTGAAATAGTTCATAGGAAGCAGCCTTCATGTCCACAGGTAACTGATCCAATAAGCATAACATAACAGAGAGGTGTTGAATATGTTCAGATGTTTGGGCAATGATATTTGCGAATGAACAGACTGTTGTTATTGGGCTGGTCCTAGTGTTATTCACTTTAATTTCATCTCTCAGGAGGCCAGCATGATATCCATAATGAATTCCAGGACAACCTGGACTACATAATGAGACTCTCTCTCAAAAGAACTAAATAAATTTTAGAAAGAAGAAAGAAAACGTCATTTTGAAACTCATCACTTTGTACAAAGAATATATGCTAATAAAGGTTTTTAATAAACAAAATCGAGGCTTATATATCTAGACTTCTCAGAAGTCACAATCACAAAAACTAGAACAAACAATTTTTTGCTCCTTGGTAGATAAGGAGTGTAATATTATTAGAGCAATGTCAGTGTCTCACTGGCTTTGCTTCAACTAAGTATCTCTCTATGATCTTTTCACATAAAATGTTTTAATATTTTACTTATTATTTTATGTGTATGAGTATTTTGTCTGCATGCATTATGTGCACCTCAAGCATATAGTTCCTGCTGAAGCAAAAAGAGGGCAATAGGACACTTGAGCTGAAGTTGCAGGTGGTTGACGATTGGCCTGTGAGTGCTGGGAACTGAACCTGGGTTCTCTGTAAGATCAGCAAGTACTCTTAACTACAGAGTTGTCTCTCAAGACCCTTTTTACACAAAAGTTTGTGGTTAGCTTAAAAAATAAAAAGACTAAGGTTAGTGAGAATGCTCTGCTTTAAAACTAATGTCTGATATAAAGATCATGATTTAATGTTCAGTTATTAGAGCCATGTCTCTGAAGCATCCTATGTTATTAGCTTCTATGTCATCCTTCTAGAGTAACTACAATGGCTTCTGAACATTGACTTAATACCAGGTACCCCATTGAGTACCTCATATTGATTATCTCACTTAAATCACATAAAAATTCAGTAAGATTGATACTACCTTGTCTGTAGGACATGGGGCTCAACAGTTTAGTAACTTTTCCAAGGTCCAGGCTGTCAAGAGTCACAATTTGAATTCAGCTATAGTAAACTATGAAGTTTATTCTATACATTACGAAGTGAAAGCATAATTCTTCACTCATACCCTTCACATGAACAGTTGTTATTTCTAGGCATCTTCACTGAAGACAGCCTATGTGATTCTTTCCAGTCTAGATGAGAAGTGGCAAAGCAAAAGACTATGAGGTGTGGGCGTGGCAAATACTGTGGGGGCTCCTGGAAAGTCTGACCAGCACTGCAGAGTAGCTGGAGACTCCGAGTGTCCTTGATATGACTCCTCTAAGACCTTGTCTCTACTTATGGAGCCCTTCAATCTTAACCTGACCTTGTCATTCTACTCCCCTCCCACCTCTCAATTAAGCTGCCACTGGTTCAGAAAAGCTGGGTCATGTGGGTGCTTTGCAGTGTAGCTGGAGGTAGAGCACTTGGCTAGCACAAAGCCCTGGGTTCAATCCCCAGCACCACGAGAATTTTTTAAAAGAGATTGTTCTGTTCATATAAGGATGACAAACCCATAAGCTAACCCTCTCGATGGACCAAGACAGTTCTGTTCTATTAGGTACACATTCCAAGCACTGAATTGTGCACAAGGAGACGTTTCCTTCAAGTGACCAAGATGCCCAATGGTTCCTACTTGTGACGGGAACTTCACCCCCAGAACTTTTGAAAATGAGTGTGTTCTCGGAATTTTCTAACAAAGAGTCTGCATTTTATTTTCTCTTTAGATTGTTAAACAATAGAATACACTTCACTAATGGAAATTTTTAGGGGAAAGAAAGTTTCTTGGCTTACCACATATAAAAGCATTGTATAGCATTGGGTCATGTGAGGTAAGTTGTTTTGGAGTCCTTTCCAGGAATTTTAAGTGCTGCGAACTTTAGTTTTTAACAAAGTCGTGTTGAACTTATGCCTTAAATGTATAAGTGACATTGCACTTCTTTGGTTTCATTGACTAACATAAAAAGAAGCCTATGTTATTCTTTCAGAAATGAATCTTATTTCTGTTTCACACATTGGAAATAAGCCTGACTTCGGGGATGATGGGAACCCAGTGGCCTCCAAACTTTAAACGATTACTTTAGAGTCTTCAGTACCTCCATAGCTTAGATTTGGGACCTAGTTTTCAAACGATTGATAAACTTCATAAAATGTTGGTGTGAGCATCTTAATTCTGGTTTGTCCTCTGCTTTTAGCTACTGTTATAACACTTCTCAGTCTGCTCAGCATTTGGGGAGACTCAGCCAGCCATGTTAACTCTGAAGAAAGCCCACCTGCTTCTGGTTTCTGGGTTTTGAATATCACTAGGTCCTGCCTGAAGATAAGCTGGTGAAAGTTAGAGCTGGGGTTTCCCTACCTGGCTTTATCACTCTCCTCCTGAACCACAGTCTGCCTTTTGATAGCTCTAATAATTAATTTGGTCTTCTCTCTTTCTTCTCCCTTCCCCCTCCCTTTCCCTGTCTGTTCACAGGTTATCTTGACGAATCAAATTACGACCCATCTGAGTGGAGCCCTCCCTTCTCAAGCAGACCTGGTGTCTCCAACTGATGATTTGTCCCCGTCTGAAGGTAAAGGATCTGTCCTGGAGAGACTGAAATGTGATACTGACATACAGCCTCCTGCCTCCTGCTGAGAGCTGGGAGACATAGCTACCGGGACTCCGGTCAGCGCAGCCTGCTGGGGCCTGGTGATTTAGGCTTGGACATCTTACCGGGCACCTGATCTATTCTTGTCTGTCTCTGAGTGAGTTCCCTTTGAGTCACCTTCACACACATTCATCATCTCTCTATCTTGTCAGCCCTCTGTGGTGCCTTACTAACCAGTTGCTGTGTCTGAGACTGATGCTCCAGCATTGCCTTTGGCAGTAGTCCTATTGCTATCTCCCCTTCTATTTGTACTGAGCACCACTGGACTGCCTAAAAAGAAGTGCCACGGTTCCATGGGCAAGAGATGTGACATTCCTGGTCAGCTTTATGGAAGGCAAGACAACGTCTCCACAGCTGTAAATCTGCCCATTTTCTCTACTACCTCCTGCTAGCAAAGGTCAGACTGGCTGGGATTTTGAGGGCAATGAACCTTGAGTAGTTGGGGGAACTACATCAGCAGCCAGAAGGTGGTTTCTATTTTGGCGAAAGTCCTCCCTTGACATTTCTGAGCTTTTCTAGTTGCAGTTGAACTAGGGCACAGTGCTAGGGACCTGTGTAGACCCACACAGCTCTTCCAGGCCCACTTTCCCTCTCTGCTTTCTGAGAACTGGTCATGATGGAAGACAGGGGACTCTCAGGCCTAGAAAGGCTCCTGACTGCCTGGCAAGGAGTCTTCACAGATCGGCACCACTTTTGTCTCAGGTTGGAAGCCCTACATGCCTGCTTTTTGGTGTTCTTTTTTCATCGTGAGAATTACTGACATAGTTATGAAACTGTATAGTGTTCTATGTCCCTTCTGTCTACGTTCAGTGATCTGTCGCCCTCCCGCCACCTGAGCTGAGAACCTCAAATAGCTGGAATTCACCTCCCCTTCAACTCCTCTCATCAAGCTGGCTTCAGATTTCTTTCCAAACATGTCTTTCATGTGTCCCGTCGTTTCCTTTGTGATTCATGTAATGATCGAGTAATTTATTAAAACTCATAATTGGCTCGGCGGGCAGTGGTGGCTCACACCTTTAATCCCAGCACTCGAGAGGCAGAGGCAGGCCGATCTTGTGAGTTCAAGGCCAGGCTGGACCCACAGCCTCCAAAATAATACAGAGAAACCCTGTCTCGTAAAACCAAAAAAAAAAAAAAATATAAAAAAAATCCTCATAACTGGCTCATTTTAATAAACCCTGTAAAACATTCTGTTTCCATTCTGCTGCTTGGCCTTCCTCCAGGGTGTCTCCCTCCTACTCAAAATGCTGAAGATGCTCTTTTCTGAGGATGTGCTAAAATAAGTGCACCAATTTGAAAATATCCGGGGGGGGGGGAGAAAATATCCAGGGACTTAGAGTTTATTGTAGCATCCACATACTTCAACGTGGGGGTCAGCAAGTGCAAAAACTCCAGTGTTTTTCTTTTGAGTGGACCAGTTTCTAGAACCCCACTACACAAGGTTAATCCTTCTGAACCCTTCCAGGTCAGCCCTCCTCTGGCTGATCAACCCACTAAGTCCTTGAATAAAGCGTCTATCTCAAGTATGCAATCTTATGATGCCCTTCCCTCTGTTTCTAGAACAGCATTTCTCTTTTGTTCTCTCGTCTGTCTTTCCAAGGCCACTCCTTGCATAGAGCCTCCTGGCCTGCAGTATTGGTCTTGCCCTCTCCCTCCTCCGCATCCTCTCTGTCTGCTTGGATGTGTAAAGAAATGCTCTAAGAAGGTTCACTTTTCATAGATTTTAAAACAAAACTGGTAGATATTTCTTTTTGGTGTTAGAGAGTGAACTTACGGTCTCACACATATTATAATAGCAAGTGTTTTACTACTGAATATATAACCAGCCCGACACCATGTTCTTTTAGTGTGCATGTTTTATCACAGTGACCAACCGAAAGTCATAGGCATACTGTAAGCAGTAAGGGAGATATTAAGTGAGTACCACAGAAAATAGTGACCGGCACTCTGCCTAGGAATGTCATTAAAAATCCTTATACACCACACACACACACACCTACCTGCCTGCCTGCCTGCCTTGTTCAGCTCTGAGGAAACCAGAATAGAATATCTTGCTTCTTTACTTGAAAATACTTCTTTTTCTTGGCCCCCTGCTTTATATCAAGCCAAAAAGTAGAATAAAATGGAGGGGAAAGAAATGGCTTTGAACTCCAGTGTAATGGCGACAGAAAATGAACTGTTCATAGGAAAGGGAGTTCCTAGCTCATCCTTAGGTAAACTAACCATTCCTAATTATGAAAACTCTAGCAGGAACTGAAACAGTTGGTGTTTTGTTTTGTTTTTTAAGGCATTTTTCTTGTATTGAGGGAACATGTAAAGAGGACATAGAAATATTTTTCCCAAAGTTTATAATGGAGTTACTCACCAGTGCCTTAAAATAAATAGATTTTGGCTGGAGGAAAGCACTTGCCTAATACACATGAGACAGTGATATTTTATGCCCAGAACTTCAGACAACAAAACAAAATAAAACAAAAAACAAAAACAAAAACCACACCAAGGGGGAGGGAGCATTTCTTAGAACATGCATTCTTGCTCAGATATTTTGCAGTGGTTCTCAAGTTTCTATGAGATGTGAAATGTATGACACAAAATAGAATAAACTGCTTGTGGATTTTAGTCCTTTATTTGGTCACCTTTGCCCGTGTGGTAACTATGACCATCGGCAGATCTTTTGGACCTCAGTTTCTTCTGTCTGATGTTATTTTGAAGGAGTCAAAGATTGTTCAAGTCTTTCCCAGTGCTGACACGGTGAGGTGGGGCTGTGGCTGGGAAGCACCCAGCCACGGGTGGCTCTTCTGGTTTCCAGAGTCCTGTAATGGGTTTCAGCTGCAGAGCAGAGGCCCTGACTTAAACCATGCTCGCTTGAAAACTGGGGTGAGAGCAGGCAGCCAAGAGCAGCCAGTAATAAAATGCTCTGGGTTGACCTGAGAGGAGCACCCAGCAGGAGCTGATCCGGGAAATGAAGTCCCTTCTGCTCTGATGCAGAAAAGGGAATACAAGTGACCTGGTCCAACTGAGCCATCTCTTCTGCCCAAGCTGATCCTGAGCTATTAATATCTGCCAGCTGTGGGCCCAGAGCATCCCCTGCTGAGATCAAAGGCACCCCTATCTTAGCTGGAACAAGGTCATCTGCACAGGGCTATAAAAGTAAGTCCTGGCTGGCTCTGAGGATGGCTATGGGGGGAGGAGAAGTCAGGAGATGGGAGGCACTCTCCTACTCCTTTCATCTCAGCTGACCAGCTGTTGCCCTCCCAGTGTTTGTAGAGTTGAGAGTTCTTTGTTTTTGTGTTGCTGCCTCAGCCTTATTCAATTTGTGCCTGGGTTGTTGTCTGGATTAAGCACTCCCAGTGCTCACAGTTTAGGTCCACAATCTGAGCTCCTGCGTTGAGGTTTTGTTCCAGTGTTGAGTTACCCAGCTCCTGGGTAGAAAGGCCAAACAAGGGAGGAGTGGATCCCATAGGCCAAGGCCTTTCCCAACTTACTCTTGCCTTACAGCTTGCGCCTTGTGAAGGAATTCTTAAGAGGTCATATTCAATTACTTGGCATTTTGCAGTCTGCCTTTCACAAGCTCTCTCATTAATTCAAGAATATAGAACTTTCAGTGCTCATGCAAACTTACAGAAAGTGCGAAGTCATTCCATCCCAATGTGCTTCTCAATATCTCTGGGTTACACATGCTTCCAACTGTGTATGTTTGTATGGAAAAGATACAAGGAGAGACAGGTAAGCCCAGAAACATATACGGAGTGAGAAAGAAGCAATACAGGGCGAGGGTGCATGGCAGGTCAGCAATGAGGTCATTTGCCCCATTCTATAGATTAGGATTAAAATCTCACCAGTGGGTTGATCTTTAGACCACTTTATGGTCTTACAGTAATATCAGGACTGGAAAAGAATTCAAGAATGTTCTATTTGCCCAACCTGATGTTTCCCAAAAGAGTTTGGGTAAAAATAATTTTCATTGTTTTTACATTTTCCATAATTCTAAACCTGAGTAGGTACTCTCATTCAAAGTATCTTTCAGTTTTTTGTTATATTGGCAGAAACCCTGACACCTACATTGTCAGAGTTCAGTTATTTCAGCTTTTCAGTTTCTTAGCTCTTGCTTCTTCCTTGTAGTCACTGAAGAGACCACAGGTTGGGTCCCTTCGATGCTGGGCCCCAGTCACAGGGATTCTCTCCCCATATTGATCATTAGAGACAGGATCTAATGATCCAGCTGCCCATAAATGCATATACTACACTGATCTGGGATTTGAACAGAACTAGCCACGTTCCCATATCCTGGGGCATAGTTGGTAGGTGACATTGATGTGTAGTAGCAAAACTGAAGGTCTGCTCAACCCACACCTTTGGCTTGCTTTCTTCTCATGGGTTAAGAGGGCAGTGGTAACTTTTCAATACGGTGACATGGCCTGCTTGAGGAGTACCAGGTGGCTTCATGGGATGGAAGGCATTAGGAAGCTTCTATCTTGCATTCTGGCATCTGGCATGTTGGTATCTTCTTATCTCTGTTAGTAGTCTTTGGAAGATTATAGCACATGGAAACTAACACTTAAAAGTGCATGGAAGGGTCAAGGATAGAACAAAAGAAAAATAAAATGCACTTCTTACTAGAACCAAAAGTGTTTTTTAGTTTCAGTGCTGGAATGCCTTTCTATTCCTGTTGCAGTCAAGGGAATTGATGGCTGATTTCATTTGCAAGAGAAAGTATTTTGGGGATTCATATTCCCTAACAAGCCACCCTTGCAAAAAGCTGGAGTCCATTTGAAAGATTATATGCAAGTGTGTGTGGCTTGTGTGTCTTTTAAAATAAATTTAGCAAGCAAAAGCAGCTCAGAATGGTTGGGGCGAAGCAGGGACTCGTGGTTGTGAAAGAAGCAGACTTCAAAGCGTGGTATGAATTTTCTAGTTTTATT